GAGCTCCTGCCCCCCCCCCGCGATTCCCTTGGGTGGAAAGGAGAAAGCGGGAATAACCCTCAGGTGTTTCGAGGACGCGTCGTTTTGTTCATAGAACGTGTGCACCTGTACGTGGAGTCACAGGTATTCACTTCGTTTCTACCACAAAAAGAAAAAGCAGCCCGCAAGCAATTAGGGTTGCAGGGCTCCACACCCCACCCCCAAAATCCGTAACAAGCAGGGAGATCAGCAGCACAGTCAGATAATACTTCACCCACCACCCCTGAGCCCCCAGCCCACGGGTTAGTGAGCAACAAAAAAAAAGCCTGGGAGACCTTCTGATGCCGCTGAGACCTACAGGAAATTAAAAAGCTGAAGCTGAAGGCCATTAGGGAGAGTTAAAATATGATGCTGCCCACAGCACTTAGTGCTGAGCGAGTGATTGTCCAGGGTCAGGAGAGGTTGGGGATCACCAGTCTACACGTAGTCATTAGTCTGAGTCCCAGCTCATGTTATCTCTGTACACAATTTTAATAACTGCTTAATTGACCCATAAGTTTTGACTGGGAGTGATATTTGTCTGTGTGCTGTAATAATTCACACAGCGCTGGGCACTCCTTTCCTCTGCCACCTAGTTTCTGATCTGGAAATTAATGCTGGAAAATAGATGGTCAGGTTGGAAACAGAACGTGTCTCGGGATCATATTTAGGCAAAAAACATGTAAATGGATTATCTAGGGAGTTATAAATGCTACAATTATCTGCCTTCGTTTGTATTGGTGAGATACTAATCATCAAATTAAGGCTGCCCATCAACTCTCTGGGATAAATTGCCATCCCCACTCATCTGAAAATTGCTTCCCCTCCTCTCCAGGTGCCAGTGTCCCAAATCATCAGGTATCTTTCCCAAATGCTTCACCAGAAGTCGTCAGTGAAGCTCCCAGAGTGAGCTGCTGTGCGTGGGGAAAGGGGAGCAGTGTTGCAGGCTGGAAGTGCCAGGAAGGATTATGGTGAGACAGTGTTCAGGCAGGAGACTCAGGCCATGAGGGAAAGCCACGGGGTTCTTGTTGGAAACCAGAGAGACATATGTACATCACATTATTTCCTAAATGAATTTTACCACATACAAATTCTCTTTTAATAGAATATTCTTCATCGCACTAAATCGAAACCAAGCACGACGCACTCATCAAATCAAAACAAGAAATTAATTTTAGGTAGGCAGAGTGTACTTATTTAATCAGAAATTTAAGTCAAACATCATGTCTTGCATGCTGTGTCTTAGGAAGAGTTTTATGGCTTCTTATTACAGGCAGAATTTGTGCTTTTCCCTTTTTTTTATTGGTATTGTATAATTTCTCACTAGTGTCTCTTTCTGAATGGGGTCTGACTGGAACATACACATGCAGCCAAACAGGGGAAGGTGGAAGAACTCTTGCACCTTTCCGTGCAATAACCCAATCTGCTTTCAAAAAGAGACAGATCATTAGTTCTGTACTACTGATGCACAAGCTGGTGTGTGAGGAGCGTGCATTCTTCCTGCCTTTCTCCCATCTCTTCTCAGCTGGTGGAGCAGGCACCAGGGAGATGCCCTCTCAGCTCCCCCACCCCTGTGCTTGAACCTCAGCTGGTGGAGCAGGCCCTCTCAGCTCCCCCACCCCTGTGCTTGAAGTGAATTCTGCTCAAAGGTGCACCAGATACATTTTATTCCCTCTTATACCCCTCTAGGGTCAAGCTGCAATCCGGCCTTTTGATTTCATCCTCTTTGGAATAGGGACATTGTCATCTTCTTGAATATAACATGCAATATAAATGACAAAACATCTCAGAGAAATAATGATATCTCCAGCAACACAGTGTCCCCTGGCACGATGTTAGAGCTTTAATCCAGAAAGGACTCAGATTCCCCCTTACTAAACCACCACCACTGCTCCGTGGCTGCATGCACTGTAGGTTTTGTTCATCACTCCCAATGATTTAGTGAATGTTATATTAGAAAATCCATTTTGTTTTCTGTGCACCATTTTGGTTAGGAAACCATTTCTTTGCTTTTGCTTTTCCTCCCCATGTTCAGACCAAGCACTGTGGATGCAGGACAAACAGTGTGGGAATATCAGTGGTCATTAATATTAAATCCTTTGCCTTAGCAGTACAGTGGGAATGCTAATGAGGATGACTATCTTTGAGAAACCATTTTTTTCTGCCTGAATGTGAAGTGAGCACAAACCAAACAACAGTTCTTTTGGGGAAGGAAACCGTGGAGCTGACAGAAGTGATGGACAATTTCTGTTTTCACTGTCTCTTCGCTGATTAGAATAAGCAGACAAAAACAGACACAAGAGAAGGGAAGTCTAGGGACTCTGAAAGACATAATTAAAACTCTACTGTCTCCTGGGTAAAGGGCAGAATTTTTCTTAGATTGGGTTTTGGCAAGATCTGTAATTCGTGCTTTCTCTGTGAAAAGGACTTACAGCTTTTTATGTGTCAAGGTCACCATATTCCTTCTTCTAGCTAACTCATGTCATCAAAATGCTCCTTAATCCCAGAATTTTGTGTCTTTTGAGTAGTTTGTTTAGGAAAGAATAGCTAAGTGGACTAACACTGACAGAGAAAGAGGGGCATTATCTACGAGGAAGAGGGGGTGTTGGAGCAGCCACCAGGAGCATAGTACAGATAGTGCAAGTCGGAAATGTTGGCCAGATGTTCCAGCTGTGATGGCTTTTTCTTCAGCAGCAAGAATGCTGGGCTTGCTTTTCTCAGCTGTCTTTCTCTAGCCCAAACCAGGTGATGGGAGGACAGGGAAAAGGAACAAGGTAGAGAACAATACAGGAGCTACTGTCCTCAGGGAGAAATCCTTTTCACCACAATACAGCACCCAAGGGAGCTACTTTTGAGAGCAAGCTCCAAACGTAACATTTTGAGCTCAAAATCTTCTAAAAGAAACAAAACCAAGGATGGGAAAATTCATGACAGAACATCCTCAGAGTGAGTGGACTTGGACAGAAAACATGATACAGTGATGAAAGTGAGTTTAAAAAATGATTGTTTATCACAGAACAAGAGTGGATCTCTGTGGTGTATTTAATACAGAACCTTAACCCTCATGTGTGCCATCTATCTCTATTACATGTTCTTCCAGGCATTTCTGGCCCAGGAGATCTACATTGTTTTTTAAAAGAGGGAATTCCAAGAATTATGGTGGATTTTTTTCAGTTTCACTAATTTGAAATACCCTCTCAATTCCCCCTCCTGAGCCAACGGTACATCTGATGAAACATCAGACTTGATATTCTGGCTGCCCTTGCAAAAGAAAACGCAAGAAATCTTTTTGCCTGCACTGCTGAGACAGTTCTTCTGCTTCTCATTTCCAGTTGCATACATGCTAAAGAGGATCAGAGCAGTTGTGCTTTCAATGAGAAACTGTACCAGATAATTTGGTGATTTAATTTCTCTCCAATTTCTGCTTGCGAAGTAGGAAGCATTTTTGTTTGTTTTTGTTGATTTTTTATTTTTTTTAAAAATGAAAACACCATCTCTTCTTTGAAATTATCTGCTGAATAATTCTCTGTTGGTAGATCTTGGGCAACATGTTTGTTTTGAACATGATACAGTTGTGAGGCACAGGCTAGTTTTGTGTAGACATGTGAAACAAGCTTCTGCTTTCTGCCTTGCTGACTCTAACTTGGAGTAGCTGTTGCAACTGTCCAGATTGCACATTTTCTGGAGGGACTATGCAAATTTTGAGACTGAACATTATTGGCAGTTAACTTTATCTTAGCTGTCATTATTTTTTCAATTAGTGACTTCTTCAGGAATTCACTAAAATTAATTGAATGCAGAAATCAAATAGCTGGGCTCAAACCCACCACTGTGAATTGGGAAGTTTTTCTCAAGCTACTGTTTTTGTCTGCTCTCTTGGTTTGAGAAGAATTCATTAATTGGAAGTATTTTGATGTAAATATTAAAAGTTGGATGAATATTCATCATGCTTCTGTCCTGAACCCAAATTTTGCATCTACAAAGTGTTCATGGCTTCCTGAGGCAGGATGTGTCAGACTGTCCTATATCTAAAGAGGAGACTGGGGACTTGAAATCAGGCAAGTGCCCATGGAATTGTCCATTGCATTGAGAGAAATCTGGTACTTTCCAACCAGAAAGCTGGAATCACAGATAGATCAGAATTTTGTGCAATACCAGACTTCAAATAAACACCAGGTAGCAGATCAGAGTGTTGGAAGCATCATCTTTTTTGCTAATTTTTACTGGAACT